CTTCCTTTATATATGTGATCTTCTACACATGCCACTTCAACTAGCGCAAAAGGACGAATCTTCGAAAAAGGTTCGATATCAGAACTCATGAAATCTAAACAAGCATTAGACTGAAGAAGTATATTACGAATATTTTTAACCAGTAATGATGCGCATCTCTAAATTCTAAACTAGGAAACCATTTCTAAATTGTGACAGAAAGAAAGGGAATGCTTACTGCCTATAAAAGATCAAACAAGCAAAGTAAAAAGGTGGCTCGAACTCCAGAGATGGCGAATTCGAATCCCAAAAAATTTCTCCTAAAAATTAATTCGCTTGAGTAAGGAATTCATCCAAAAAGCATTGGCGCAACTAGATGATAAATGGGTAGTAAGTCCCTAATTTGCGTACAACAGAATCCGTTTCGTGTTTACTCACCGGATAATTGCTTATCCAGTGTGACCAGCAAAAATTCGTTGCGAGCATCTGAGAAAGGACGAAACAATCTACACCACAGTTGATAAAACGACAGTAACAAACACGGGTGAACAAGAAAATCGGTGATTTAATAATGGAATAGAACACCGGAGGGGAAACTACCAACATTGTTACGAAAAGGTGTTTGATTGAACTCCGAGTAAAGAAGAGATCAAGTGAGCCAAAATAAAATTGGAACGTATGTGTAATTAAAACATGAAAAGAAAGGGCAAAGTACAGCTGATAAATGATTCGATAATCACTGACAACGGAAACGATGAATGCAATAGGTATTGATTTTAAACGAAAACTCGTTGGATAAAACAACCTTTGTATGGTAATAACCAAACAAATTTCTAAGTCATAAACGAGACATCGAATAAATATAAATTTTCAACATCGAGTAATAAATACTGAAAACATCATCCAACTTTAAGGCGTTTAGAAACTCTGAAGCACAGCACGAAAATTACAGTGAATGACATGTAGGTAAGAAACTTAATGAGTCGAATTACTTGAAAGTAACCGTAATCACACATCAGTCAGGCACATTGGCTTGTGCGCCATGTGTTGCTATTGATATAAGCGCTCCTTGCACAGAATTGCTCTCATACAAAATCATTAAATATAAACACATACAAGGTAAATAGCAGGCAAAAAGTATTTGTACAAATAATCGCCCTTGCATGTTTGGCTCTCTCAGAGTCCTAACGAAGAAAGATGGCATTAATCGCTGGTACAGCTTTGTCAGAGCTAGAAGTGTTGAAGCTGGTAGTATTTTAATGCACAGACACTGAATGCTGAAACACCTGGTGCATATGATGACTCAACGCTATGAACCAGCGTAACAGACTGCTGCAATTGCTATTCTGCAGTGCTATCAACAAATTCTTCAACAGAGATTCACCTGATCTCACATATTAGCACTAGTCCTTTAGTAGCAACGTGAAATTTTTGTTCAGTAAGTTTTAAAATATCATATCACCAGTCTCGAGAAAATAATCAGTGATAGAGCAAGATGATTTTTTTGCGTGGTCATAATATTCTGAATATAATCGACAAATCAAATTCCGTCCACCTTCAGAGAACATATTTCACATGCAGCGATTATCGATTTCAAATTATGCGAATAAACTTGTCAAAACAGCGGGCAGGATGATGTGGTGGTTATAAGTTCAAGGATGGAACTTTAAAAAGTAAAATACTTTTATAAGTAGTAGGTGTTTTCCAATGAAAGTTTCATGGAAATGTATGCACTGTCATTTTTTGATTAAAGCTCACAAATAATAATTTATTTAAATACACCTTTTATTATTTACATTGCTTAGTTCGGATTCAGGGAGTGCGTAACTACTGTTAAAACAGGAACAAAGTTCTCAATGATCTTGCACCTTAAGATAACAAACCATCTGTGACGATGGGCATCCCTGAAGTGGCCGCCGTTCCATCATTTTGGCGATAAAATTTGTCTTCCAATCGGTAATATGGCTTTTTTCCTGATGCACATTTGAACGACTTGAGTTTTAGTGCAAGGTAGATGGAGTACTGTGAAGAGTTTCTTACAAAAGATTAATTTTAAATAGCACACATTTATAAGCACACAGCATAGCTTAAATAGCACACAGTAATTTAATAACGTAATAGGACAGGCCATGCAAATCCGATTTTTGTAAGTAGATTTCTTTCTTCCAGTGGATTTTGCTTTATCCGCTCCACCAACACTGCTTCAAAAATCGTACTTTCCTACCAGTTTGCTTCCATAACACTTATACCGTGAGCAGAATGCAGCTTTTGGTTCATGACAACGGTTTGAAAGGTCTAACCCACTCCCTTTTTCTTTTTGAACGTTGTTGTGCCTGCTGATGATCCTGTTTGCAAGATCTGAAGAATTGTGTTGCAGCGTTTTTTCCATAAATCCGGTGAATCTCGCACTATGTTGCAGAATCTCCTAGAGCACACCTGGTTTTCTGCACGTATTCTTTTAATTTCATTGCACCTATAAAACTGTCATTATCTGCTGGCAGGATCTCCTGTTTTTCTTTGTTCAACTTTATTTTCAGCCATACTCCCGAAAATCTTTTATTTCAAGAGACAATTTCCGAGTAATTGCGACAACGCCTATACTAAAACTACTACGAACGATCAAGAGAATTCCCAATTTTACTTTAATACCTTAAGTTCTCGTTGTTTATCAACATATGATTTACCAGTCATTTTAACTTGCTTTGTCAGCTGTGATCAGTCGAATGTAACTTTATTAGTCATCACAATCGAATATAGTAACAGTTCTTAATGCGAGGCATGGTAATATACTCCAAAGAGCATTCATGCAAGAGAAGTTTCCAGCAACTAACAAGAGAAGAGAGACAACGCAGAATATGAAGAACCCAAATTCTTCTATAGTACGTTATGACGTTCCAGACTTCAGCTGTCTTTGCCGAAGCTCAGGCTCTGCACAGGATCGGGAACGTTGGAAGCACTGTCTAACGCGTCTACCTCCTCGACCCGAAAGACGAAGCGGTCAAGGAAGATGATAGTACATAATGACGTATTACCTCACCATGATCTCAAAAAGTGGGAGGCACTGCGCCAAAATCAAAATATTTTACAAGTCAAGCTGAAGCGTTGCTGATCGGCTTAATATTCTGCATCAGGACCGCTGAGCAAATGGCAGTAACATATAAGGCGAAAGCACCAAACAGTCAGTTAAGACTAACAGCACCGTAGTGCCATTAATCATGCCGGTCAAGCCGAACCACGTGAGCATAACTCTGCACAATGCACATCATTATTCTGAAGACGGGATTACTTAGGTCGGAAACAACAGGGTGAAAAAGAGAATACCGGTTAATAAATATTTTACGCATTTTTCTCTAGTTCTTTACATTCCCAAACAGTCGATGTTTAAATAACTCGATCAATCAATCAATCAATCAATATCACCAACAGCACCATTCATCCCATAGCGCATTCAGAAGTTTCGACAATGCTATGCTTACGTTTGTAGGCTTCAAATATTATAACGCTACTATATGAGACCTTTCCAACCTAATTCGATTGTTAAATTTGCCATCAACGAGTGCACATATGAAAATGTAGGAAGCAATGAAAAGACAAACTTCTGCATATTCTCGTTATTTTGCCTATGGAACATAACAAACGATATTTACGAATACAAAAATTTATTAACAGATTTACAGATAACGTACACAAACGCAAATAGAAATGTGTTAATACTGCTTTTTCTTGAGAATATCCGGTCTCCACAACACCGGATGCGTTTCCTCTGTCTATAAAACAGAATCTTAAGGTAAATGCACTCAAACTAACGGTCTTAAAAATTCAAGAATTCATCTATGCACACGGTTTGATTTCAGTACTCGTACGTCAGGTAACCTTAACAACATATATTATGATTTCCGAGATGGATTAAGTGTGAATTGAAATGCCAGATAACTTTCGAAAGTGTCTGCATTTAAATAAATACATAAGTAACCGTTTGGGTCTAAACACTAAACTCAGATATTAAATCAGTTTCGAACACAGTGCCAGGGGTAACTCACTCATTCCGTTTTTATGTGCTGTACAGACCTTGAGAAAGCCTTCGTAGACTGGATTCCACAAAAACACTATAGGGATGTCCGCAGAAATAAGGGATCGATTGGCAGTTGCTGAGAGCCGTCCATCACTATATACTTATAGTAAGTTCTGCGTCAGAGTAAATGGCATTAAAGAAAGATCTTAGTGCGGTAGAACTGAACTTTGTCAAGTGTGAGTTATTTCCATCTCTCGCTTGTGTTGTGACTACCATTTACTGACAATTTTGTTTTGTTGCTATCTTACGAAAATGATCTCCAGCATTCTCTGGAAAGGTTCACAGCCGAATGCGAGCATATCTAGAACCACAAGTTTAATGTTTTCTTCGATCGCATACATTCTGCTAGTATTAACGGGCGAGGTAGATGACAGAAAGAGATCGAGATGGCTAGCGGCGTTCTAAATGAACAATCCCGAATAGATGTGACTAAGGCAGAGGCCGAAGAGGAAGTAGTCTGAGTTCAAGTCGATCTTCATCCCAATGCTTATCTGTAGCCATGGGCAGTGGGCATTACTGAAAAACTTCGATCCCCTATAAGCAACTGAAACGGGTTTCAAAGACGAATCGCTGAACTTACCCGTCTCAGCATGGTCTGAAAGAACGCTACTGCATAGCCGCTGCTTATCTAAAGAGCGAGGAAACAGCTGTGATGGTTTGGGCAAGCGTGGTGAAAGGTTTCAAAAAGGAACACGAAACAGCTACTACCTGTCCAACCGACCGGCCGAAAACCCGGGGGAAAACCAAAAATGACGTGGGGCAACTACCTCTAAGGACTATGATTACCTCCAAGAGTCAGATTATCTTCCTCTGAAACCCAAACGATGGCACAGGTTCGCTGATGCATCACTACGCTTAAGTCTGCAGAGAAGACGACACAGGGCAGATTCTGACCAAATGGTTTGATTATGTAAAGAATGGGGATTTTTGTATCTTGGAATCCAACCCATTAACAGGTGCGAAGCCACTGGAAACGACCGCTAAAGCAGCTGCCGAAAGGAACAGCGGACACTGAACATGACAAGAGACAAGTGTAAAAGAAAAGTAACTAACCGCAGTTTCGTCTTCTTTGTACATTTTTATCGTTTTATCAGCCTCACCACACATGAGGCGACTGCCACTCTGGTCGTAACATAATGAGAATATGCCAGCTTCAGAATCGATACTTCCGGGTTGCGGTTTTGTTTGATACTTTTGAAAGCAGAATCCCGTCTTCCAATCCCAGAAGTTCATCGAGCCGTTGTCACCTGCAAAATTTTTTTCAAACCACATACAAAACGCGCGAAAAAAGGTAAGACAAATGAATCTTCAGGAAGCGTCTACAGTCATCCGTTCCGTTTCATCTGCCATAAAATCTTACACAAATCTGAGTGACAGCAAAATTGTTTGATTATCACCAAGTTCATCCTCAGAATTCTTTGTCAGACAAGCTTGGATAATTCGATCTTAACAAATCGTTGTTACTGCATTAGGCAAGTGCCAGCCACGAGATACGCGCTACGAGAAGGCAGTTTATATAATCAACTAGGGTGACAACTGCGATATTCGGGAATGCGGAAAGGTGGTGAATAACGGTGAGCATCTACTATATCCCGGGTTCATTTTTTGTCGGTGAAGCACTGAACAAAGGCTGTTTAAGCTGCCGATCAAAATCGATGCATTCTAATGATAAGCAGTCTCTACAGTACCAGGAAACAACGATCTCTTGACAAAGATACAGCTTTATTGTGCTGTTGTCAGACAGATCTTGTTTTAAGGATTTAAAACAGCAGCGCTTACAAAAGTAGAAGAGCATCGACTAAACAGTCTCCGACAGTTATGGCTACGACATCTGCTAAACATTAGGAGGTAAGGTCGGTTCAGGAACGACCACGTCTTGACGTCGGTTTACCTCACAGACATATCAGAGCTGCTTAGAGAAAGAAGGTTGACGTGGTTCAATCAATTACGCAAAAGCAACCAAGCCTCACTAGTTCGTCAGTTGCGGACGTGGGAGCCGAAACATGAACGAAAAAAAGTCCTGCGGTCAGCACATTAAATGAAAAAAGAAACTAAGCAAGAATCTGCTGTCGACGAGGAAACTTTCTTTCGGTGATGGAATGAACAGCTTTTAATATCAAAATGCGAAACGTTGAGGTGACCGGACATCACAAATCTTAAGCAGCCTGTAATTAAGCAGAGCGGTTAAAGATGATGACACAACACGAAGCACTCGCATATTGACTAGCAATTTCGTATATCCTCTCAAATTTATATTGGTAAAACCCGCAAAACCTTTAAGGACAAATTAACATACGAAGATAATCGGAACTCACTTTCCAGAACAACAATTTCCATGATTAGTAAAAGGTTTATGGACGGCAAAAGACGAATGCAGTCGATGAGCAAAAAGTATTAGTTGATGAGCAAAAATACGGGTAAAATTGTCAAGAAACGAACCCCTATATATCTCAAGTAAAACAACGAGGAGCAGCTGCACCATTAAGTTTGTTAGAAGTCTCCGAATCATTTGGTGGTGGCAAATTAACTGCATGCTAAAACAGCTATGAATGGCGCTGTCAAATTGGCTGTCAGTCTTGCTTACATTACAGGATGGAAAATTTTATTTGAATTAAACTTTGGCACTAAAGTTAAGACCTAAGTCAATAGTCGCCATAAAATTCTAGAAGCTAACTTAGTTATTTCAGCAGAATAATATGAGTAAATATTAATTCGAGCTGCTGAAGTCTAAAGCGAAATTAAAGCAGAAAACAAAAATTACCCCCAGAGACCAAAACACCGTCTTGGTTGACAACAAGGGCATTAATGATTGCATTGTGGCCACTCAAATTTTGGACAAACTGCCCAGTGGGACACTTCCATTGTTTGATATTGTCTGGAGAAGCGCTGGCAAACATGTACAAAGTTGGATGAAGACAAACTGCTCGAATGCTCTTTTTGTGGTTGGTAAGAGTGCAGCGAGTTTTACCGGCAGCTAAATCCCATAAGCGAACGGTACAGTCGTGTGAGCCGGTGATGACCTAAAACAGCAACTTTATAACTGAAAGCACATTCCAACAGAAAAGCACCTGTGGCTCAGCTGCCTGGCATGCGACGCTTGCTACCGTATTCTGATGGCCCGTTAGACAATGGACCTGAGCCTTCGTTCGCATATCCCATACCTTGAGAGGATATTTATTATGAACATAGGGTCTAAAAAATTTGCGAGTTCATTTACCCTAACTGTCGAGTCTCTGCTGACTGTCACAATTACGTCGATAGTTGGATGAATATCCAAGTCGTACACTGCGCTCAAATGACCATGATAGTGTCGTACTACCTGAAAGTTGCGGTGCAGCACATGTTGTAACTACCATCTACTGGCATACTTTATTGTATTCGAGATCCCAGCATTTCACTTGTTTGTCTTCACCGGCAGAAAACAAATACGGTTGTCTAGGAGAAACTTTCACAGCTCGGACCGTACTGACATGGCCGGTTAAAGAGAGCTTCAGTCTGCCAGTAGCAAGGTCCCAAATCTAAATGACTATGACGTAATTAACCGGTAAGACGAGTAGGTCATTTACTTTTATGATACGGTCAGCACCACCTGAGCAAAACCACTGGTTGCCAGGTTCTACATCAATGCACCTAACCCAACCAGTATGACCGCTAATGACCCGATAAAGCTTCCACGGAGCATGCCATTGAGGCTTTGGCGCGATGGGTGCTTTTAACGGCAACAATTCCTGAACACCGCCGCCGCGGTTTGATGAATCTGAACGGTTAAGAGTAGGTCTAGAATTAGACTAATTTAAAAATCAGTTTAAACAAGTCGAAACTCGCAACATACACTACAGAATCATTTGCAGTGGAATATGGTAATGCTTTCTGTGCACTGTTCCCTGGATATGTGATCATTTGCCTGTTAGCCGCTGCGACTTTACCAGTAGATTTCAAAGGCAATGGCAAAGGCAGCAATTCTTGTTCCTTTCGCTTCTTCGCCGCCTCTGCGGCTTCCATTACTTTGCCATATTCGCTGCGGATTTTAACCTTCTTCTGCAACTCGATGCTAAAAGCTATGTTGGAGCAATATATTCAGCAAAAGAAAAACAGTCATGAGAATTAATTTCACAAAGTAAATAAATAAATTCAACTGCATTCCATTTTACGGCGAACATACAATCCAAAACAGAATATCAAATAACGAACGTCCTCGAGATCAGACTAAACCGCTTTCTTGTTCCTAGCTACCTAGGGGGGCCTTTAAGAAGGCCACGGCTCATGGTATTCCAGTATCTGGAATGCCACCATTCTCCTGAAATATCGTTCGTGATAAGAACGAGGTAGTCTCAGCAGACAAAACGACGGGAGATGCATCAGTCATAACAGGTGCTGAAATACCATGGAGCTGTTTCCTGTTTAAATGTCCTTTCGGTAACTATGAACCAGGGAGCGGTACAATATGCCATTAAACCTGGTACTGGAGAAATCATTCGCTATTTCAGATACTCGAGCGAATGAACAGATTATAATATTTATGCAAGAACAGACTATAATAAAATTCAACGGTGCTTTTTCCCAAGGGAAGGTCAAATACTATTAAAAGCATCACAGAGTACGAACAGTGGAAAAATCATTACACGTGCATTTTCTATGAATAAAAAAATCTGACGAATAAAACAACTGAGGAAACAATTATGGACAAGCCAAAAATGCGAAAATAAGATACACAGAAACGAAAAATACAGTGCCACTCTTAAGAGAATGGAAAACATGACTAGTGGGTTAGTGTACGACCAACAGATGATGGCAGCATCGAACCAGTGACTGATCTGTACCCAAGGTGCTGCAAGTGACAGTCAAACAACACAACTCAGATGAGAAAACGACTCATAAGAATGTCATATAGGCATTAGCAATGCGATCACGCGAAGTACTTAAGAATGATAAAGGTCGATCAAGAAACTAATCATTACTACCATACAAATGGCGCAGCTGGTTATCACCGTTATTGTTTTTCCTCATCATCTGAGCAACCGCAATTTGAACAGCTTCGATCGTCCTATAGTAATGACGCTTGGTATGCAGGAAGTGATTCCTTTGAATGCTTTAACCATCAGATGCTTCGATGAATGACATACTATTTGTAACCAGATCTCTACTAATTGGTTTGGTCAGTTTTGAAACTGCCCTACTATTCTATTCCCCGTGATAGCCTCCCATAGGAGGACAGTTCTCTCACGTCTTCTGCGTTCTGAGCCATTTTATGGAAGCATGAGATACGCCGCTCTCTTAGCTCTACAGACTTGTGGCTTTGAAAATACGATCGCTCGTTACTCAATAATATTATCAGACCATACTTGTATAGGCAACGCTGACAAAAGTTGTACAAATGATCTACTCGATTCAGGAATTCAGTTAGTTCGAGACCACGCAAGCGGTTTCAAGAATACAATATTCGTCTTCATCGTTATTGACTGGTCTTCTCAATACTTTTGCTGCATTGCAGTTAGCAATAGTTAGTCGTATGCGGATGATTAATGTGTGGGTCACCGTAGTCCCCGTCACTGACTGAACCCTTGAAACCGCAGACTTCGTCTACCGTTTTATTATTCCTTTTTATCTCAACAGAATCGACAAGTTATTACTGGTGTTTTCATCACAACTGTTTTGGTTGGGTCGACTTCCAGCTTCACTTTCTTTCAATTGCATCTAACATTCACACTGATAACTTCCAGGCTTCACTGTCATAGGAGAACGCTGAGGAGAACGATTTTGTCTGCTAGGTACCTGGAACTTGTTCACGATGTGATAGCAGCGCCTTTTGCATGGACTGAGATGGCATTTTCCCACATGAAATATTTAGTGATATTAATCAGCAATGTCGAGATTACTTCACCGTAATGGTTGGACGCCAGATGAAAATTAAATTGCTTATACAGAAAGTCTTCGCTTTGAACTGATCAGGATGTTTCTCTGTACAACTGTTCTATTAGTCTTCAATGACATTCTGATTTCCAGTTTCACACTGTCGGACAACCCTCCAGCTGATGAAGTATAGTCGTTTACTGGAATGCTTCGAAATATACAGTGTCATATTGAAGTGTAACCAAGTGTGACGGAGTTACTTTTATTGCCGTAAAATAATAGTACAACTGACTAATGAATCGTACAATTTCAACTGTCAGTTAATTAGTCAAGCTACAATGAATAGTGTCGGCAATAAGAAGATACTTACGCCTTTTTGTCATTGGCAGGCAAACTTCCTTGATTGCACAGAAACATGTCATGAGTTCTCTTGAGCGAACGAAACACCAGCGTGTGAACGGAATGTCTCTGCACTTCTCCCATCTTGCTGAGTACAGTCTAAAACAAAATTCACACATAATCGAACAGTAAAATAGAATTTAGTGTCGAAACCTGGCTGTTCTAATACGATGCAGAAATAACGGAACATTTGAAAGTATAAATGTCTGAATCAATGACTTCGCCTCCTACGAATCTCGGTATATGCGTCGCAAAAAAATGGAAGACAACTATTGCAAAGCCACCAAAGAGCAGGGAATATAAAACAGTCAGTTAATGAGGTAGTCACAATCTCTATCTGCCAGACCTATTTATGCTCTCTATGCAATGGAAAAAAGAAGGATTGAGCATCACCATTTTTCGTGACCTCAAAGAACAAAGCATGGGTAATAGTCATAAGGTCTGCTCTTTCGGACGATATCTTCATCTTCCATCGCCGCTTCTCCTTTCGGATCGCGGAGGCAGACGCGTCAGACAGTGCTTCCAACG